TTATGGGTTATGTAGTCCCAGATATTTTCCCCTTTTCCTGTAAAATTGATTAAACAATACATTTTGTGTCCAAATTGAGAGAGTAAAATTTTTTTTATTGAATGAATCGTAAGCATAGCATGAAATACCATCTTCATTCCAAGCTCCTTCGATCTGGTAGGAGGCGGTGGCAGTTCCAATCAGGAAGTCATCCGGGAACCTCCTCTGCTGCTTGGTTGACAGTGCAGAGCAATACGCCCCCAACAACCTATTAAATTAAAAGTCTGTCATTTGAAGTCTATAATATAATATTTTGGTACTAACGAGAAGAACAAATTATAGATTTTTTTCGACAATCATTTATAATTTAAATAAAGCCCCGTGTGGTATTGTTCATTTTATTAAATGGTATTTCTGACATTGTTCCGAAACGCTTTCATGGTTCAGATTAAAATCTAGATTGAAGTCCAGATCCGTCGGTTTCTATTATAAAAGCGAACATGATCATTAATAATTATAGAATGCAATTTTAACAAAACATGAATCTCGTAGTTTTTATGACTATCTGAGATATATAAATTAAAATTTCACTGTACTCGTTGGTGGTGCAATGTTTAAAAATGCCAAGACAAATATGGCACTTATTTTTAAAGTTCGTAATACTTAATCCGAATAAGAGAAAGAATAATTGGAAAAAATTGTCAAGAATGAAAACTCAAAACTAAATTTTAAGCAGAAAAAAGGAAACCCATTATTCGGCGAAATAAAATGAGAGTATCATCAAAGTAGTCGAAATCAATTAAACTTGCATTGTTAAGAATAACTCAAAAACTACTACTCAGATCTTGACGATATTTAAATGGGACCACATTAGAAGCATTAGCTTTGGAGTGACCAGCAAATAAAAATCAAAATCGATTCACTTCGAAAAAAAGTACTAAAATAACACAAATAAAAAATACAGTCGAATTGAGAGGCCATTCTTTTTTTTTTGTAATTCAAAAAACGATCGAAAATAAACAGATATATAGTAACCGGCAAACTTCGTGAGCAAATGACCTTGACTGCGCAGAACCGAATTTTAGATCACTTTGGTGGTGAGGTTGAGGCGCGACGGCAGGGGAAATCGTCTCGAGCGCGTTATTGGTAGATCAGTCGAACCTTGCGTCCCGCACCGCGCCCTCGTTCCGCTTGCTCCCAAAAGTACGCTTGCGTACAGTGAAAAGTCTATCGTTATTAATCGTTAAGTTATTTGTTATAATTGCTTGTTGACTTTGTTGCCATTGCTATTTGTTGAGTGTTTGTTGATTTTTTATAAAAAATACACTATGCCGCGACAAACTGGTGTAGTATTCAAAAGAAAGGGTAGAAAAGTTGTGTACGACGTATATTGCTTCATTATAAAACAGGGGAAGAATGATATAGAAAAAGTAAAACAGACTTCGGAAGCAACAAAAACATCCGTGAGTGCTGTTAGGTGCATTATTAACGAAGCTAAAGGCTCTGGCTTGCTCGCCGTGTTTCGGACTCCGGGTAAGAAAAGATCAGGGAAGAAGAAAGTTACCGGAATGGATAGTTTCGTTCAATCTGTAATAAAAAGATGTAATCATAATAACTACATAACAAGCAGCGAAACTCCGTACCGTAGAAAGGCTTCGAAAAATTTAAAGAAGATATAAATTTTAATGGCTCGGAATGAAGTTTACGACGAATTATGAAAGAGCTAGGCTTCAGATGGAAAAAAAAACAGAAAATAATCGGAAGCTGGTAATTGAAAAAAGTTACATTCGATTACTACGAATCGAATATCTTCAAAAAATAATTAATTATAGACAAAAAAGTAGACCGAACCGACCGAGTTGTAAACTACACCGATGATCCCTATGTCGACTCATCACGATGATAGCAACTCGGGTGATAAAAAGTGATGATGATGGTCAAGATTATGATAACGAAAAAAAAAATTACAAATACCAGCTTCGCTTCAACTGAACCAAGACCTGGCAACAGCTCTAGTTTTGACTTAATAGAAGGAATATCAATTTTACCCCAAGATAAAATTATTACAATTATTAACCTATATTTTTTGTTGATGTTCTCATAAATATATAAATAAATACACATGTTGATTTTAATAATTTAATAGCATTATGACGCAGAGTACATAAAGTTTTTGCACGTGAGTGTACCATGCGCAAACTTACCCCCACTACGTCGACAAATGCTCAAGAAGTTTGCCGGCTATATAGACTTCGGGTCGGCTCTGGTGTTACGTAATGTGACGGTACATAAACAATCAACATCACTTTACTGGTTATTTTTTACTGGTGGTAGGACCTCTTGTGAGTCCGCGCGGGTGGGTACCACCACTCTGCCTATTTCTGCCGTGAAGCAGTAATGCGTTTCGGTTTGAAGGGTGGGGCAGCCGTTGTAACTATACTTGAGACCTTAGAACTTATTCTCAAGGTGGGTGGCGCATTTACGTTGTGGATGTCTATGGGCTCCAGTAACCACTTAACACCAGGTGGGCTGTGAGCTCGTCCACCCATCTAAGCAATAAAAAAAAAACTTACCCCAATAGCAGGAACGTCTTCATATTATTTGATAAATCAGAAAGCTAACGACGACTTATATACATATGTATAGACTTCAAGTGTCATTTTTATCTAAATAAAACGGAACTAAGGTCTCGCTTAAATTTTTATCTGGATATTTGATGACATTGACGTTGAAGAGAAGAGAGGTATTAATAATCGTCGGATGTTTTTTGAAGATCTTGATGAGCGCACAAGCTCCGCTTGGTGTTCGAGTGTGTGTATGACGTCACAACTCGAAAACTCGAATGCCCCCCCCACCTCACCTTGAGACATGACTCTAAATTGAATTTTAGAACCGGTGTTGTCACCTTCAAATTTACCTATTACTCTACGTAAATATCGAGTATTTAAATTACAACTCCAGGGTCGCCACTCGAGCACTTTTTGGCCTCTTGCTGGTAGCGGGTCTATTTCAGCTACGCTATGTCTGGTAAGTGAGCTCACGGGGCTCAACCTGAGAGAGTGTGCTAACACTGGCCCAAGCAAGAGCAGTGCTTCGCAAAATCAACCACCGGTACGGAATCACTGAAAAGATACGGAGAGAAACTCAGTGGGAAACCACGCGTATTGTGCGCGTTGTGGCATTGTGAATAGATCCGTGAAGCGCTCCGAGCTCGCTTCCCAGGACCCGGAGTACCAACCACCTGTGTCAGTTTTGTGACGCAAGCCACACGGTACGAACGGTTTCTATTCGTAAAAACAATCTATTAAAATAGTGGAACTAATAACAATTTTATTTAACAAAATTAAATGTACATGACGGCGGTAGGTACTGGCGCTGTGTTATTTTTAAAAATGGTCAGTAACGCTGACGTCATTCTCTTCATTATTTCCATTGCTTGCCGTAGTGACATTAATTAAAAATTACTTTTTCAAAAAAAAATCCTTTGATCGAGCTTCCAGTGTACAATTACAACAGGGAGGTCAACCCCGTTCGGCTGTTCAAGCTGGAATGTGTTGTGAGTATTTTTTTCTCCTACCTATGCTGATGGCCTTGAGAGGCTACATTAGCGTTACCCTAGCGTGTAGGTGAGCCCTCGGGGCTCAAACCGCCGGTGTTGCTAACACTGGCCCTAGCAAGAGCAGTGCTTCGCAGAATCTACCATCGGATTGGAAACGCGACCCACTGACAAGAACCGGCGAGAAACTCAATGTGTGGGTTAATTTGCTCGTCGAACCCGTCGCTTGCGACGAAGGGTGATCAGTGCTTGAGGTACCTAAAAGCACCGAGAGTGGATCTGGAGGATCTGAAATGTCGTGTAATAGTAGGACAATGGCCACTCATATTTATAGTAGAAAAGTGGGGGTTGTTTGTTCATGAATTATCTTAAATACCGTCGCCTAAAACAATTGTTTATACATACGCATATGTATGCGTTGTAGGTACTTCTAATCATTACTAACCAACAAAATCCAATAATTTTAATATTAAGGATTTATTCTTTAACTATAACTAATTTTTGTTAAGAAAATAGTAGTGTTGTACCGATATATATATATTGCGTATCGTGAATGAATACTTTGTGCTATAGTACCTACTGTCACGTTGTTGTCTATGGGCTTCATTAGGAGATTCATAAGTTTATTTAGCCATTAAATTGACGCAAAGGTTTGCAATGCACTTTGCCAGTCAGAAGAATCGTAAAAAACTCAGAGCTTACTCTTTTCGAAACATGTGTGCCTGTATAGTAACATTTTGTGTATTGAGGGGTGATTGATTTCACATTCCACGTGTTCGAAGACATGAGATCGAAGTCTTATTCTTTGATAACTATTTGAACAATCATACAATTACTTAATTAATTATCCGTAAGAATAACAATACAATAGCTTACATTTTATGAATAAAATTATAACCTGAGTTCATCTAAAAGCGAATTGCTTAAATTTTTTAATTAATTATGCTAATATATTATATTATACTCTTTTATCTTTTGGATATTTTTGTTCGTCCTGTTATACGGAATTGAGAAAAGATCTTTTTAAGAAAAAGATTTTAATAATGAAATAGACATACAAAGATTTATGACGACAATTTCGGCAACCGTGCCGTGTGGAATTAGGAATAGGACTGACTGGATATGTGATTGCTCTCTAAAAAAGGATCATGAGTGCTGATGCTATTCGGGAAAAGTGATGATGGAAGTAAGGCTAGGAACCAGAGGGTATCATAACAGTTGGAAAGAACAGCTCTGAGTTTCTGATGAGTGATACGATGATGGACTCTGCGAAGCACTGCTCTTGCTAGGGCCAGTGTTAGAAACACCTCCGGTTTGAGCCCCAAGCGCTCACCTACACGCTAGGGTAAGGCAGTGATATAGCCTCTTAAGGCCATCAGCATAGGTAGGGAAAAACTTATTAAGATAATAATGAAAGAAAATAGGTAATGATTCAATTTATTTATTTTACTTTCTTAATATTGTCTCAGTGTCCCTCGTCGATGGTCATGACGGTAGTGTTGGGCTCGTAGTCGTGGTCGATGACCCTGCTTCTCAAGATCTCCTTGTAGACGAAGGCGGACTTGCGCGGGGTGCGAGGGCGGGCGGGATCCGAAAAGTCAACCTCGTACAAACCGAAACGTTCGCTGTGGAATGTCATGTACAGTTTTAGATTTGCTTATAGCATTTTAAAACACCGTTGTCCACGTACTATGGCAAAGCTAGGGTACAACGAGAACCACAGGAGGAAGACATGTCCGTTAGGACACACCAGAGCCCCGAAAACGTAGCGTGAAAGAGCGTAACGGTGCCAATAAGTAGGGACATACTCCGATCCAGACTGTGCTATTTTTGAAAAGTTTAAAATCATAATTAAGACAGAACTCACGTGTATCCTTCCAACCATTCGAAGTTATCCATCAGACTCCAGGCCATGTAACCTTTGAGCCTAATTCCGGCATCGAGACAATCTAATACACTCTCTAAGGCGGCTCTGTAATAACGTATTCTGTCGTCGTCAAGTAATCCGTTCGTAGGAGGAGAGGACCAGCCATTCTCAGTAATGTAGAAGATAGGATCATTGTATCTCTTCTGGAGATAAGTCAGCGTGTCGTATATACTGTCTGGGGATAGCTGCGGAATAAATTGCTGAGGTGAAATTCAGAATGTTTATTGTTTTAGGCACGTTAATTGTTAAATTATTTAACTTTTTCTTGGTTAATTTTGAAGGGGGGCAGTCGCTGTCTTGTTTCTGTAGTCCAGTAACAGCTTAACGAAAAAAGAAGAGTAAAGACCTTTCCCCGATTAGAACTAATAAAAAGACAACACGCTGTCACCAAGGAAGTTAAATCTGGCGTCTGCAATCAAATAGTCCTCACGGTAAAACTTACTGTTAGCCAATACGAAGCCGACTGTGGCCATTCGGGGGGGATGTAATTTCCCACAGTGATGTCAGGGAGTATAGGTATAGTAGGGCGATCAGAAATTTGCTCGTTGGCAGACACCAGGAAGCCGGTGTAATGGTTGACCCCAAAGAAGTCCGAAGCTCCTCTGACCAATTCTCGTTCTTCGTCTGTAAACTCCGGAATTCTGGACCACGGGTAGCCTTCTTTTGCACTTTTTTCAGCCACTATTTCAACTAATTCCTTAGGGAATCCACCTTCTTCAGAAAATATAGGTTCTGCGTAGAGGCCAAACTGCAAATACATTTTATATGTTAAATTATAATAGGGCGCACAAAAGTGTATTATTAAAGGCATCTCTAGCCCATTTAGCGCCTTTTAGTGGGCGGTAGCGTAATGGTTGCAACCATTACGCTACCGCCCACTAGTAAACAACCAAACCACACCCTGCGGCATAGGTAAAGAGTTGCCTGTGTGTAATATGTCAATACAAGTATGAAATATGTAACATTACTTTGCTGAAGCTGCCCCCTTTTTGTTTTCTTCGCGTAAACTTTCCCTGAATAGTCCATCACACTTAACAAAATCTCAAGATAATACGGATGTGATTCATGCTCGATTGCGGACAAACAAACAGACATATATTAAACTGACAAATGCATGTAAATTCCTAGATTTATACTTTCGTAGCGCGGCTGTTGGATTAATTATAAATTAACTATTCCAATCGAACAAACCTCAGCTTGCCGTCTTAGTTCAGTAGCTGCGTGATCTTCCTCAGAATCGGTAAAAGGCCTGAACGAATTGGCACTGATGGTGATACCGCACTGTCCTCCTTGTTTGTCCTTGAACTCATTGTTGTACAAGTGGTATGCTTTAGCGTGGGCTATCAAAACATTCTTGGCACACAGATATGTCCCGATAGCCGTGGCGTTGAGGATAGGTGCTTTATGAACAGAGCCGTAACCCTCGTAGCATATTTCTCTAGGCTCATTAATGGTGATCCAATGTTTGACTCTGTCACCGAAATTCGTGTAGACCACGCGCGCGTAGTCTTCAAACCAAATGGAAGCCAGTGGATTGGCGAAGCCTCCCAGTTCCTGCAGCTTCTGAGGCAAGTCCCAGTGGAATAAAGTAATCATCGGGGTTATGCCGTACTTCAACATCTCGTTGATTAGCCTGTTGTAGTAGTCGACTCCTGCTTCGTTGATTTCATTGGCGAATCCTGAAGGTAAGATTCTGGACCACGAAAGCGAGAAGCGATATACATCAAGACCCAGCTCTCGCATCATCTCCACGTCCCTCTCCACGTTGTGGTAGGAGTTAGCGGCAATGTCACCAGTGCTTCCGTCCTTGACTGCTGCCGGGTTATTATGAGTTAGGTAATCCCAGATATTTTCTCCTTTTCCTGCAATAGTTTGGTAAATGAAGTTTTTCACATAACATTTGTTACTTGTACAGATTTCGGGAAGAATACATAAAGTAAGAATTAATTATAAACTAATATTATTATTTTTTAAATACCATCTTCATTCCAAGCTCCTTCTATCTGGTAGGAGGCGGTGGCAGTCCCGATGAGGAAGTCATCCGGAAACCTTCTCTGCTGCTTGGTCGATAGTGCGGAGCAGCACACCACCAAAAATCTGAAAAAATATTTATTTTTAATTATCTGTATATATATAAATATTTACGTACCTTCCATTGAAGTTCACTTACCCTAATGCCAGAAAGAACTTCATATTGTATTATGAAGGAGCGATGTTGATGTCCACTTATATACGCAGCTACTGCCATCTTTATCTATATTAACTATCTGTATTGACAGACGAATCACTTGAGTCTGATATTGAGATGTTTGTTGACATTAATGCTGAAGGGTAATTCTTTGATTGTGATGAAATTTTTGTATCCAATATAACCAAACTGTTGTATCCAACTTGTATCTCGGTGAACCGCTAATCAGCCATAAATACCGGTTGAAGTCTTCAAGTTACGATTCCCTTTCAGATGAAAAGTGGTACATACTGAGGATATAGTAAGAATAGTCGATCACACTTTCTACAGTTTGTCAACATGTTCCAGACAGTGTCGCTGACCGCCTCATAAGATTTGACAAAATCCAAATACTCGCTAAAGGAGACCCAATTTATTCCACGTATCACGAGCGAGGCTATTGAAATAAAGAAAGACTCCCCAAAGGACATGCATAAATTTTGTTCCCACATCGGACATGTTAAATATCTTTAACTTCGAAAACGAGTATGCTTTAAATAATAATAACGAAAGTGAATATGATCGTGATAATTGTTTAGAGATGGTTGAAGTTATAGGGATAGCTTGATTAAAAAATAAAAGAATCCTTTTGGTTTTTTTTTTCTTCTTTAAAATAAGTAGAAACTGTTTTGGGGGTTTTTTTCTTCAAAAAGCCTATTTTCGGGGGGTTTTCGAAAAAAATTGGGGGGAAATTCACACGGTCATCTGGCAACACTGACCGATCCACCGCCACCAGTCGAAATCTGACTTGCGAGCGCGCATCCCGTATTATCTTTTTTTGCTACGCCCTTTTTTTAAGTATTGCTTTTTGTTTCGTGTACCGCTTGTGTTGCTTGGACTATCTATTTCTTGTGTACTTTCTTATTCTTTGTATATTTTGTCTTCGTCTTAAATAAAAACTTTCTTTGTTTCCATTTGTGTTTGGAAAGACATTATAATACCGACCCCAAGGCGACCAAAAAGCGTAGTTTTGTTTTTGATTATGTTCAATAATTATTGATCAATGTAATGATTTATTCTACGGATTTAAAAGTATAAAAATAGATTTTTGTTTAGATATAATGTTTTATATTAGTTTTAAAATCCATTAATTAAATATGTTAATATATTTTGCTATTTTTTTGGAATGTAATGTTTTTTAATATTTTACCTATGGCAACTCCTTCAATATTATCAATGTAGCTTAGTCATACTAATTCCTTTTTATTTATGATTTTAATTATCCCACCATTAAAATACCCTTAAATTTTATAATAAGTATGTAAAAATGAAATGTTTTTTTCTATAGATATTTCATTCGTGTCCTTGAGAGCACGAGTAGCTGGGCCGAAAATGGCCCATGTCCTTTAATATACAAGATGGTTCCCGCTCATCTAACACACTTGAAATCCTCTTATCGTGAAGATGAAAACCCAAGTCAAACAAAGTCACTGACCTCGGATAGACTTAACCAATTAGATGTGGCCTAGGAATTGACCTAGGAAAGATTGGGGAATGAAGAGGATAGAGATTGGTGAATCTAGAGATGGATGGAAATAAAACACTGTCAGTTCTATTATTGTGAAGCTTAACATACTAATAAATAGTTTTTTTTCTTTTATGTTAAGGCAGACAACACTATATATGCCACTGAAACTGAACGGTCGGTTCTTGTTGGGTGCTTGGGTTTCTTAAATAAAATTTCCAAATCGATTTTGAGCTTGTATTTTCTTTATACAGGTTTTTCATAATTTTTATGTTGCGAACAAATTAGCTTGGCACGGCGATTTGAAGTGTAAATCGTGTAGGTAAACATAAATGAAAATTTCAATATTGCTCCTTAAAATTTCGTAGGCGTTAACAGTTCTTTCTTTTGTCGTCTATTATAATATGTTCGGTCAATTCGTTCCTTGTCGTCTGGTTCGTGTCCCTTTTAGGAAGTCAAAAAAAGGACTGCCTTACTCTTTAGTTTTGAATTCTTGTCAAGTGTCTGTTTTAGTCTGTGTCTAGTCGTTGTAGGTCTTATGTTCTGTCAAAGAGATTGCACGCCACGACAGAAACTAAAAGAGCACATTAAATTTAATGTAGGTATATTTACTGGTGGTAAGTCGGGTGGTAAGTCGTTCTGTGAGTGATACCACTATGGTTGAGTACCCTGCCTATTTCTGCTGCCTTCGATTTTGAAGGGGAACAATGACTATACTTTATAATTGAGATATAAGCCTCACGTCTCAAAATGACCTACTTTCAGGCATTCACACAATGATAATGAAATACGTACTCAACAAATGTTCTCGATTGACATCCACGGTGAAGGAATAACATCGTGTAATAAAAATCAAACCTGCAAATTTTAATTTGCGTAATTACTGGTGGTAGGACCTCTTGTTAGTCCGCGCGGGTAGGTACCACCACCCCGTCTATTTCTGCCGTGAAGCAGTAATGCGTTTCGGTTTGAAGGGTGGGGCAGCCGTTGTAACTATACTTGAGACCTGAGAACTTATATCTCAAGGTGGGTGGCGCATTTACGTCGTAGATGTCTATGGGCTCCGGTAATCACTTAACTAGATAAGCCGTGAACTCCTTCTGGCTAAGGCCTGGTCCAGAAATGGCGAATTTACCACGATTCTCTCGTGCGTATAACGCGCGACCGTTTCGCCCAGAAAGAGCGTACCTACGCGTGAGCAATCGGGGACAAATTTAGTCAGTAGGAAGCTTACCGTCGCTAGAAGAGACAAAAACGGAGGGAAAATATAATGTATTTAGTACATGCAATTCACAGAATGACACATAGTACGTTTGTCTTTCTTTTTTCCTCGGAGTCATCATCTTTATCAGAAAATATTAACACCAATTCTTCCCAAGATCTACGTTTTAAAATTCTCTTGGCATAATCCGGTGATTCCAAATCCCATATCGCCGGTCGTTTTTCTATTTCGTCTATAAACAATTCCATAGGTATCAAAAATTTGGCGCTCCATTTCCCTGAATACGTGCACTCTCTCTGGGTTCGCGCGTTAGCTGGGCGCAACAAGGCGTCCCTGGTATCTCGACTCGCTCGCATTACGCGCGAAACACGCGCGAGTCGAGAGTCTGGCGTAGTGCACGCGATTTACGCGCGTATTTTGAATTCGCGCGATGCTTGTGGACGCGATGTGTGCCTAGTACCTTACTGACGCGCGAATGATTTCGCGCGAAACATTTCGCGGCGAATTCGCCCTTTCTGGGCCAGGCCTAAGCAATAAAAAAAGGTCACCCATCTCTACAGAATGCACCTCGTTATCGCAGAGCATGAATTTACAAAATATTTAAATCTCCCGTATCATTTATCTCTCTGCACGAGAGCTGACGTGGGTCTAAAAATTGCTTCTCATTCAGATAAGTGTTTTCAGTACACTTCAAATCTGACAATCTATTTAGTACCTACATACCTACTAAAGATTTATCAGTATTCTGGTTGCGGTTGTAATTCGGCAGGCTGGTTCGATAACATACAAAACTAGTGATAATAATATTTGATAACAAAAAAATATTTTGGCCTAAATTAGCGCCCCCTAATCGTGGTTGTGGTAAGAAGCTGTTATACGGAATTGAGAAAAAATCTTTTTAAAAAAGAATTTAATAATGAAATAGACATAATATAAAGATTTACGACGACAATGACGGCAACCGTGCCGTGTGGAATTAGGAATAGGACTGACTGGATAGGAGGGGATTGTTCTTTAAATAAAGGATCATAAGTGCCGATGCTATTCGGAAAAGGTGATGATGGAAGCAAAGCTAGGAAACAGAGGGTATCATAACAAAGCGTACCGACTCTCCTAGTAGTAAGACGTTTGATAGGGTTTGACTGGAGGTGGCGTCCTAAAAATGCTTCTACTCTTACTTCTGTAAAAGAGGATATTTATTTATGTATTATATTTAGCCGGTTTTACCAACAAAGTGATCATCAAAACAAAACATAGGAGAATTGACAAGAATTACATAACAAATTATTGATACCATTGAAGTATGAAACCTACTTTTGTTATTGCTTAAAGTCTGTAGTCAAATTGAGAATAAGTTAATATTGTTTATCTTTCTTGGCGAAATCTGTGACTATGAAACATAATAGTCGTTGACAATAGAACCATAATAAAGTTCAAACTTATAATTTCAATTAATTATAGTCGAATTTTGACTACTGCGGGACCACTTGTATTAGAAAAAATATGAAATCCTGAATAATATTCTCACTATAGATACAGGATATGCGAGAGAAGGAATGTGAGTGCACAGTTGATGAACGAAGAAATAGGTGTAGGACTTTTTTAAGCCCGCGCGGGTAGGTACCACCACCCTGCCTATTTCTGGCGAGGCAGCCGTTGTAACTATACTGAGACCTTAGAACTCAAATCTCAAGGGTGGCGGCATTTACGTTGTAGATGTCTATGGACTCCAGTAACCACTTAACACCAGTTGGGCTGTCAGCTCGTCCACCCATCGAAGCAACAACAACTCACAAGAGGTCCTACCACCAGTAATAAAAAGAATAAACGGAATATTCTTGTCCTATACTAACATCTTCGGTTTTGCGATTCGTAGAATATAATTGAAATTACTTTCATAATTATCACAGTATTCATAAAATATGATGAATGCGTTAGTCGTCCGTGTGTACATGGAAACTGTAAAGTATTCGGAACGGTAATAATATAATAATAATAAAATATAAAAAAATAGATTAAACCGTAAAAGTAGCTTTGATTGTTGTTACTACTAATTGAACCCAATCGTTCGGAATCACGCTAATTTTAGAGAACTTGATTAACAAGCGTATTAATGTATCGATATAGAAAATAAGAAAAAAAAAACAAAGAATGTAAAACCGTCTACGTTTATTTAAACAGATGTGCTATGAAACTGACTAAAAAGAAAAATAAGGAATTTCGGTTAAATATTCTGTGTAGTTTCTTTTTAATATAAAAAAAGTACTCAACCAAAAACAATTCAATTTTTAATAATTATTATTACCCTTTAGGCCCTCAGTAGTCGAAATTCGACTATAATTAATTGGAATTGTAAGTTTGTACACTATTATGATTGTATTTTATACTTCTATAATCACAAATTTCGCCAAGACTATACTATAAAAAATATTAACACAGACAAACCATATTCTATTCTCAATTTGACAATAGACGTCAAGAACAAAAGTTTGACAGTAAATAGTATGCATGCGTGTGTGCGTCAAATACACGGTATGTAGTGTGTGTAATGTTTTCTTTATTGATTTAATGTATCTTTAATGCATTATTTTAAAAAAAATATTGGCATTGTGCACTTCTTCTCTATACTCTCTATAAGTGTGGAAAATTTCATACCCCTCCGTCCGCGCAATTTTCGTAAAAAGGGATACAAAATTTTTGCTTCACATATTAATATATAGATATTACATTTTGTATTTGTTTGTATATTTATAAACATAATATGTATGTATGTATACACATATATGTATATGTATGGTATTTGTGTATGTATATGTATGTGTATGTATATCTGTTACGGTAAATGTACACTCTTGGGAAATGTACACTTTTACCGGTAAATGTGCACATTTGCCAAACAGTTAGGTATATGTGAACTGAATATTATGTATATGTACATTTCTTTCACGTTTTGGTAAATGTATACTCTTACCTTCATGTTTTAAGAAAAGTTACAGTAAATACAAATAAATGAATAATGTTGTTGCAGTAAAAATATTTATTTAAATAAACATAATACAAAAGGCTTTTGATAAAATAAAAATAAAACTAAAATAACGCAAGTTATTTTTATTAAAAAAATGTAAATGACAAATAAAACATACCTAGTTTTCTTTGCATATTATATAATATGTCGTAGGTTAGGTTAGGTTATAGTCCGGCCCCGTCGAGCGCGGTGTTCCACAGGGGTCGGTCCTTGGCCCTCTCTTGTGGAACATCGGCTATGACTGGGTTCTGCGGGGCGCCCTTAGCGCTCCTCTCCCGGGTCTGAGTATAGTTTGCTACGCGGACGACACTTTAGTCGTGGCCCGGGGGAAGGATTCGCGCGAGTCTGCTCGTCTTTCTTGCGCGGGGGTGGTCTTCGTCATTGGCAGGATCCGAAGGCTGGGTCTGGAGGTGGCGCTCGATAAGTCCCAGGCCCTGTTGTTTCACGGGGCCCGGAGAGCGCCGCCTTAGGGGGCCCACCTTGTGATCGGAGGTGTTCGCGTCGAGATCGAGGCGACCGGGTTACGGTACCTCGGTCTCGTACTGGACGGTCGTTGGAGCTTCCGCACTCACTTTGAGAGATTAGGTCCCCGATTGATGGCGGCCGCCGGCTCGCTGAGTCGGCTGCTGCCGAACGTCGGGGGGCCTGACTTGGTGGTGCGCCGCCTCTACACGGGGGTGGTGCGGTCGATGGCACTGTACGGGGCTCCCGTGTGGTGCCACGCCCTGACCCGCGACAACGTTGCGGCGTTGCGACGTCCGCAGCGCGCGATTGCGGTCAGGGCGGTTCGTGGATACCGCACCGTCTCGTTCGAGGCGGCGTGCGTGCTAGCTGGGACGCCTCCCTGGGACCTGGAAGCAGAGGCGCTCGCTGCGGATTACGCGTGACGATGCGATCTTCGCTCCAGGGGGGAGCCGCGTCCTGGCGCGGCGGAAGTTCGAGCGCGGAAGCTTCAATCTCGGCGTGCCGTGCTCGAGGCGTGGTCTCGCCACCTGGTGGACCCCGCCTACGGGCGACGGACCGTCGAGGCGATCCGCCCGGTCCTCTCGGACTGGGTGAATCGCGACCGAGGACGTCTCACCTTCCGGGCGACGCAGGTGCTCATGGGACACGGCTGTTTCGGCCGCTACCTGCACCTCGTCGCCCGGAGGGAGCCGACGCCGAAGTGTCACCACTGCAGTGGCTGCAACGAGGACACGGCGGAGCACACGCTCGCGTACTGCCCCGCTTTCGCGGAGCAGCGCCGCGTCCTCGTTGCAAAAATAGGACCGGACTTGTCGCTTCCGACCGTCGTGGCTACGATCCTCGGCAGCGACGAGTCCTGGCAGGCGATGCTCGACTTCTGCGAGTCCACCATCTCGCAGAAGGAGGTGGCGGAACGGGAGAGGGAGAGCTCTTCTTCCCTCTCGGCGCCGTGCCGCCGCCGTCGAGCCGGGGTTCGGAGGAGGGCGTTTGTCCAGCTCCAGTCCCTATGAGGAGGCAGTCTCCTCCCGGTGATGGTCACGGGGCGACCTAAGGGGGTTGAGGCTGCGCCGCACGCTACCGTCACTCTAGCGCGCTGGCACCAGGAGGACGGGACGGCGCGTCGGCGGCTGCGGACTGCGATGTGGTCCGCATTTTCGTCGTCGCTGTCGTCGCCGAACATACTGTTGAAGAGCAACCCGGTCGGCGGTGTATCGCGTTCCGACCCGGCAGGCTGGTTCTGGCCCAGCGGGGTATCCCGGAACACCAGCGGCACCGCCCGGGCGGCCTGGTAGGGCCGCCGTACCGCGGAGACCGACGTCGTTGGTCGTCGACTATCGCCTCGACGACCCGTCGGTCGGGCGTCCTCGGGGTGGCGCCGCGTGTCTGGTTGTAGTGTTGACCGCGGGAACCCCCCTACTCTGAACGGGTTCTGACCCCGGACGGAGATCGGACGTCGGGTGTAAGAGTGCAGGGGAGTCGTTTAGTGGGTGGGCCCTAAAATCCTTGGGCCCGCGATCTGCTCTCAACACCTGCAGATCGTTGAGTCTCACATACCCCGCGCGCCCTCTAGGCGCGGGGACCTCGTAGGAGGTTCGGCCCCCGGCCCGAGAAAAAAAAAAGGTTATAGTCCGGCAGGCTGGTTCTGGCCCAGCGGGGTAACCCGGAACACCAGCGGCATCGCCCGGGCGGCCTGGTAGGGCCGCCGTACCGCGGAGACCAACGTCGTTGGTCGTCGACTATCGCCTCGACGACCCGTCGGTCGGACGTCCTCGGGGTGGCGCTGCGTGTCTGGTTGTAGTGTTGACCGCGGGAACCCCGCTACTCTGACCGGGTTCTGACCCCGGACGGAGATCGGACGTCGGGTGTAAGAGTGCAGGGGAGTCGTTTAGTGGGTGGGCCCTAAAATTCCTTGGGCCCGCGGTCTGCTCTCAACACCTGCAGATCGTTGAGTCCCACATTCCACTCTATAGTCAAAAGCAGTACAGCGTCTTACGCGTCCAATACAACAATGCGTTCAGGGTGTTGTTGGGGCTGCCTCGGTTCTGTGGCGCGTCGGGTATGTTCGCCGAGGCACGAGTCGACTGTTTCTTTACGACCATGCGGAAAAGGTGCACATCCTTAATTGGCCGGGTCCGGGTCAGCCCTAACAGCATCCTGAAGGCATTAACAGACCGTTATGACTGTCGGTACTTGAACCATTGTACCATGGTTTACTTGCGGAGTAAACAATAATAATAATAATAATGGTTGGTTCGAAGTAGGTATCAGTGGAATGGAATATTTGAAAGGTAATCCACTGATAACTACTTTTAATAAATGTATATTTTTTTATTTGATTGGCTTTGTTAATTTTAAGTATGTTTCAATGATACTATGTACACATATGGACTTATTGTTGTTTGAAATAAAATAAATCATTCATTCATTCATTCATATGCATGAAAAAAAATGACATATCCAATATCCAATCAAATCAAATATCAATAAATTCACAAGCATTCAAAATCGTTAACGAAATCAGTGTTATCAATACTACATATTTATTACCTACCCATGTTTTATCTGTGAACTACATAGATAATTTGTAATACATTTAATTATGTAATCGGTCGACGGTTACTGTCACAATTACTGTCAGTGTGTACACTGTACGTACAATAGCTCAGCACCGATTTGCAATTAGTCGTTTTTGGGCACGAATATTCGAGTGAAATGAATCTTGTGTTTATTATACTATGTGTCTTGAGGTATGATTTTTAAAAATAATAAGTTTTTACTGTGTTGAAACTCTAAAGGATAGATATGGTTACCCGGTAACCGTACTCGTCGAACTCGACAAAGAGGTCGACGTGCAACCTAACCCATGCATCAGCCCGCTGAGTTTCTCGCCGGATCTTCTCAGCGGGTCGCGATTCCGATCCGGTAGTAGATTCATTCGCGAAACAATTGCTCTTGAGTTGTTAGGTCTCCTTCGGAGGCGCTCGGGCAGTTGTCAGCAAATCCCACCCCTCTTGGCTGAGCCTTTGCTCGCCCACCTGTCCTGGTGAAACTGGAAAGGCCTTCGGGCCACCAGTAAACTTTCAATCATAAAAAAAAAAGATAGATATGATAATAGCGAATTGAACAGGGTATTTTAGTGTTATGTTTCTTTCTGAAAACGAGGTTTGCGCCTTTCGGCTTGGTGATAGCCACGAAAGACGCGACCGGCGCACTACTGGGCTGTTTAAAACCAAACAAGGCATACTTCATCTGCGAATAAAACGTACCTAATACGTAATTCGCCTTTTATTAAACTATGGCCTATTAAAGATCGATTAAGTGAGATTTTCACGCGTATTACAAAGCCAATATCTCGTGCGTTAGTCCGTAATAGTTTTTTTACCAGCGCCTGCCCTAGATTTCTGAACGCAGTAATTATATAATAATATATACTTAGTCTGGCCATAAATACTGTTACAATTAAAAATAAACAAAATGTTACATTTGAATTTGGAATCTGTCATTTTTATATGATTGCTCATTGAGTTTTCTCTCTCGTATATATTAAGTGTATAATCTATGGTTTTCTCATTTTGGCGCTAATACATTGTACAATATTTTGCGATATTAAAATGGAGTGGGGTGATATAGAGAACCGAATCGCTGTGATTGCATTACACACAGTAGGTATGGAGCCAAATGCAATTTTTAAAATTCTCCATACACTTGGTATTAGTAAAATGTTTGTGTACCGGGCTATTAATAGGTGCAATGAGACCTCCTCTGTTTGTGACAGAAAAAGATCTGGCGTCCCCTTAGTGTTCGTACGAAAAAGGTGGTCAAAGCAGTAAGGGAAAGAATTCGAAGAAATCCAGTCCGAAAGCAAAAGATGGAGATGAAGATGAAGATGAAGATAGCACCTAGAACCATGTCTCGTATTTAAAAAGATGACATATGACTTGCAGCCTATAAGAGACGTACTGGTCATTTCTTAACTGATAATTTAAAAGACAATAGAGTGGTAAAATCGAAACAACTACTGAAGCGGTACGCAAAGGGAGGTCATAGAAAAAAATTGTTTACGGATGAGAAAAATTTTACAATTGAGCAACATTTTAACAAACAAAATGACCGTATCTTTGTGAAAAGGTATCAAAACATCGGCACAAGTGTATCAAGATACCATTCTTGAGAAGGTAGTGAAGCCCATTAACAACACCATGTTCAATAATCAAGAATGGTCCTTCCAGCAAGTCTCGGCGCCAGGTCATAAAGCTCGGTCTATGCAGTCTTGGTTGGAAACGAACGTTTCGGACTACGTCAGAGCTGAAGACTGGCCGTCGTCTAGTCCCGATCTTAATCCGCTGGATTATGATTTATGGTCAGTTTTAGAGAGTACTTCTTGCTCTAAACGCCATGATAATAAGTACAGTTGGAAGTTTATAGATCTGATACATATTTTTCTTTATGTTTTTTGCTAAGCCATACATGAGAAGCATAAATAATGTTTTTTTTTCTTTTAGGAGTAAAATTAAAAAAAACCCATTACATGCGCATTTATTTCTAACTTTGTGCTTTCATGCTTCGTACATTGAAAATGATTCATTTACTTTAGTTTACTCCTCAGGGGTGAAAACTCTCATTTCTAAATGGAAGACGACGCATAGGGGATTCAAAGTCATAATACAAGTTTGCAATCCTATTGGCTAGGCTAGGCATTGATGAGTCAATGTTTGTTAGGACAAATAATAGTAATAGGTATAAAAGTGTTGACCTCGGTAACTCCCTCCACCCGTGTTCTGACCTCTTTTTTTTTTTTATTGCCTTTGTAGGCAGACGAGCATACGGCCCACCTGAGAGACATACCTCGGAGGGATCGGACGCTTAGACGAGAGGGCAGGGGAGTAGTATAGTGGGTAGGGTTCTAAGTACCATCCTTAGGCTCGTGGTCCGCTCGCAATATCTGTAGATCTTCCAATCCCACATACCCTGCGTGCCACTTAAGCGCGGGGACCTCGTAGGAGGCTCGGCCCTTAGGTTAAAAAAAAGAGGTCATATACCGAACGGGGCTTTAGTGCTACATTCTAAGTTGAAAGCGTCTTCCTTTCGGATGCGATTACACAACACCTGCCATATTGAAACGCAGTAAATTTGTACCTTCAAAGTGTCGATATTGTACTAAAATCACTCGTATATCTCGTTGCAGTACGTCACACGTTACCTATGGCTACACGGACAACAAAGTGAGGAGATTCAAAGACGGCTTCATGTTTGGTGTTGCGACATCGGCTTACCAAATCGAAGGTGCTTGGAATGAAGATGGTAAGTGCTAAGGTACTTCAGTATTGAACCTATACAAGTGAGAGACGCTTAGCCGTGTCTATACAGGCACGTGGATTCGTGACTCAAAACAGCTACGTCCTAAGTCGAACGCGAGAACGTTATTTGAATATCGGATTTACATTAAACAAATTAAAATTTAATAGATTAACATTTTTACTGGTGGTAGGACATCTTGTGAGTCCGCACGGGTAGGTACCACCACTCTACCTATTTCTGTCGTGAAGCAGTAATGCGTTTCAGTTTGAAGGGAGGGGCAGCCGTTGTAACTATACTGAGACCTTAGATCTTATATCTCAGGGTGGGTGGCGCGTTTACGTTGTAGATGTCTCTGGGCTCCAGTAATCACTTAACATCAGGTGGGCTGTGAGCTCGTCCAACAATATAAGCAATAAAAAAAGTCTGTTTTAGTACAACGAAATTAATAACCATCGCATTGAAAACATTAAGTATTTAGGTCTAATTTAAACTATTTGAAGTCAAACTTCCTTGGAACGTTGAGAGTAAAATTTAACTCGTTACGGCTAGAGAGAAAAGATACAATTTAGAAAGAGCGAGAATGAGAAAATAGATAGAGCGTCTCGCGAATAACTCGACCGTGGATGGAGGGAAAAGAGAAAGCGAGCTAAGTCGTTTGTTCTTATATACAACATTGATATTAGGATGCAAAATGAAGAAAACCACAATACTTACACACAGCAAAGAAGTTTCACTTCTTTCGCGTTCACCAAGTTGCACTCGCACTTTTTTTTATTGTCACTATATTAGTTCCGAAGTTTTGGATACTTTACAGTTGCCATGTTTGCGAACGACTAGGTGTTGAAGCCATAAAACTAGTTTTAATTATGACACGTGAAAACTGAAGAAGATACTTGTGTTAAAAATGCTTTATCTGCAATATTTCTCTCAAATACGTGCCGTCTTATTTAGGTTGGATTGAATGTTTCTTGATTTTAGGTAAATCGGAGAGCGTATGGGATCGATACACGCACGCGCATCCCGAGGATATAGCAGATAGAATAAACGGTGATGTGGCTTGCGACTCTTACCATAGATACAAGCGCGACGTGCAGATGCTGAGGGAACTAGGAGTTGACCATTACAGGTTCTCCGTAGCTTGGACGAGGATACTGCCGACCGGTAACACTATAACTTCACAGCTTTGATTAAACTTCAGTGAGATAGCTATGATTAGCAACTAAACACTAGATGAGTCAACCTTAATTTTAAGTATGTTTCGATGATACTATGTACACATATGGACTTGTTGTTGTCTGAAATAAAATAAATCATTCATTCTTTCTTGCCCAGTGATTATCTCGCCTGGTCTTCTCAGTGGGTCGCGTTTCCGATCCGTTGGTAGATTCTGCGAAGCACAGCTCTTTTTAATACGCTTTTATTAGTTTCAGTATGTAACGGCATCTTTGAACATGATTTTGACCCCCTTCAAAACGTCGGATTAACTCGAAATTTGGCATACTTATTAAGGACCGATGACAATTGAATATTTAATAAAATTATTGAAAGAATTGAAATTCAACTAAAAAAGGAAAAATAAATAAATAATTTACAATAAAATCATTTTTTCTTACACTATTTTTAATTCGAATATATTAAAATTTATTTTCTATTTTTTAGTTGGATTTTCTATAAAAGCGTATTTTTTTAGTTTTTTTAAGCTAAATTTATTTAATAGGACTGGTGTTAGCAACGTCCTCAGGTTGAGCCCATGAGCTCGTCTACCGGTCTAGGCATAGCTGAAATAGTTTCTTAGGTTACCAGCGAATACGTAGGCAAAAAAGTCAACCAAATACCTAAATAATCATTTATCCTTGCAGGGTTCAAGGACGAAATAAACGAAGAGGGTCTGCGATATTACGAGAATTTGATTGACGAACTCTTAAAATACAATATCCAACCTATGGTAACGTTATACCATTTCGATATGCCCCAGAGTCTCCAAGATTTGGGAGGTTGGACCAACCCGCTGATCGTAAATTGGTTCGAAGATTACGCCAGAGTGTTGTTCGATAGATTTGCGTCCAAAGTCAAATATTGGATCACGATAAACCAACCCAGCTCTGTGTGCGTAGACGGGTTTGGAGACCCCGCTCTTAATGTCAAAGAGAATGGCGACTACACATGTGTCAAATATATTCTGCTGGCACACGCCAAAGTCTATAGATTGTACGAAAACCAATTCAAGTCTAAGCATAAAGGTACCTAAAATCTATAGTTACAATTTTAAGGCCTACTGTCGCCATGAGTGTTCCTGGCGGTCATCGTTCTCGTCGAACCCGTCGCTTGAGACGAAGGGCTCGACGAGTAAATTAACCCATAGACACAGCCCACTGAGTTTCTCACCGGATCTTCTCAGTGGGTGCAAAAATTAACAAAGTAAGAGCAATTAATTGTATTTCACTGTATTGCGTTTACTACGAAATAAATTTCACTTATACTTTAGCCTCAGCAACACGTCGTGCTTAAGCCATTAAATTGTAGCTTATGTGAAATGTTGGTATTTTGAACACAGCGCCATCTATGAGATATCAATGTCAGTCTGTAAAACCTCATTTAAGGTGCCACCTGTTTTAGACTTATGAAACTTACAATTAATAGAAATAATCAACATAAAAAGTCAATTTATTGTTAATTAATAAATATTGCGAACATTAATCGAAATAAAAACCATCCTATAGCCTAAGTTGGAACAAAACACATATTTAAAAAAAAAAGAAATCAAAATCGGTTCAGTAGTTTAGGCGTCCATCGCGGACAAACAACGTGACACGTAATTTTTATATATAATTATATATTAAGATGGTTAAACGTTTATTTGTTATACTAGGTTCAGTTGGTATATCCCTTGACATAAACTGGATCGACCCTTACAATAAGACCACTGAAAACGATGAAGCTGCCGAAAGGGCTAGGAGTTTCAAGGTAAAGTATGTTTGCCACGTTCCGGAAATTAGTTTTAGCGCGCGATGTACGCTAAACGCGCAATGAAAAGCAAAACTTACTTCGTTGTCCTGATTGTTTTTATATTGAACAAGCAAACAATCAAATCTTTCCTCTTTATAATATTAGTATAGATTACTTTATTCTATCATCAATAGTTTTCGCAGCGCACGCGATGTAAAGAATATTTTAGGTAATTTTTTTACACCTTGCGTTACATTATTGGAGTTTTAGTAAGGATCCCAAAATTTTTTCAAAAAATAAAAATAATAAAATAGCCTATGTCACTCGGGAATAGTGTAGTTTCCAAACAGTGAAAGAATTTTTAAAATCGGTTCTGTAGTTTAGGAGCCTACTCGAAACAAACAAACAAACAAATCTTTCCTCTTTATAATATTAGTATAGATATTGGAGTTGATATTTATGTCAGTATTATTTTAGGGTTAACGGCGTTTTTGATTGTCATGTTATTATTTCCGACGTTTCCAATTACAGTGATTGTTCGACGACATTTGAATACATTGCTGACTACCGTCAATTTGTTTATAAAAACAATTCTAGGCTTTTACATTTGATTTCACACGGAACGAACTAACAGTAGCTTGTAGTTGGCCACGTAGTTATTTTGTTTGACATAGATATTAAAAAATGACATATACTTAAATAGAATTAGGGATCGTGACGCTTTGAATAAAACTATTCCACTGTTGCGCTTTTATTGTTCTCTTCCTAAATCTTCTCTGTTGTTATAATTAAAAATTAACTGACATCTTTTTTACGCTTTGCTCATTCAATCGTCTTCGCCATCTTGCTTTCTCTCGTTCTCTTTTCCATTGCTCATTTTTCCCTTTCCCTTTCTCTTGCTTTCTTTATTGTTTTCTTTTCCCTTTCTTGCCGATTGATCTCACTCACATCTTAACGCTCCGTTCCACACTCATTTCATACGTTCCATTGTTACCAGTCTTACATATATGAGTATCAGTATTATATGTTCATTTTCCTAAACTAATCCATACGTCTCACAATCAATCATCGTCATATTTTCGTTATTTATTAGGTAATTCGACAGTATCATAGAAAGTGCAACACCTACCACACGTACATATGTATTTCTAGGAGATTCTCAAGCCAATCGGAAAATATAACTTTTTTTTTTTTTTTTTTTTTTTTTTTTTTTTTTTTTTTTTTTTTTTTTTTTTTTTTTTTTTTTTTTTTTTTTTTTTTTTTTTTTTTTTTTTTTTTTTTTTTTTTTTTTTTTTTTTTTTTTTTTTTTNCTTGAGATATAGTTCTAAGGTCTCAGTATAGTCACAACGGCTGCCCCACCCTTCAAACCGAAACGCATTACTGCTTCACGGCAGAAATAGGCGGGGCGGTGGTACCTACCCGTGCGGACTTACAAGAGGTCCTACCACCAGTAATTACGCAAATTATAATTTTGCGGGTTTGATTTTTATTGCACGATGTTATTCCTTCACCGTGGAAGTCAATCGTGAACATTTGTTGAGTACGTATTTCATTAGAAAAATTGGTACCCGCCAGCGAGATTCGAACACCAGTGCATCGCTCGATACGAATGCACCGGACGTCTTATCCTTTAGGCCACGACGACTTATCGAATAATCGAATAATATCGAATAATCTAATCTTAACAGAGTTGATAAATAGTGTGATTTCGTTGAAACATTACTTGCTGATAATATGCTTACGTGCGGACAATATGAGTGCATGGTTTTTTTTGTGGCCTTGATTCTGGTTTCAGAAGACAAGATCACGATAAATAAATTGATAGACCGGACGAAGGTTCTTGATACGCCATGTTGTTTACCATGTACTTTTTTTATTTTATTTTTTTATTTTTTTATTGCATGTGTTTGGACGAGCTAACAACCCACCTGGTGTTAAGTAGTTACTGGAGCCCATAGACATCTACAACGTAAATGCCGCCACCCACCTTGAGATATAAGTTCTAAGGTCTCAGTATAGTTACAACGGCTGCCCCGTTCTTCAACCCGAAACGCATTACTGCTTCACGGCTGAAATAGGCAAGGTGGTGGTATCTACCTGTGCGGACTCTCAAGAGGTATCAACTTACCACCAGTAAAAATGAATGAAGGAATGTGTTTTTATTGCCTAGAAGGTTGAGCGAAACAGTTCACAGCCCGCCTGATGTTGATTGATTAGCAGAGCTCATAGACACATCACAACATGAATTCTGCCACTTACCTGAAGATATTAATACCAACCCATCTGAATCTGCAAGTCGCCCTACCATAGCTAAACACAAAATTTCCCCTGCTCTTTGATGTCACACTCTAGCATTAAACAGTTTATTTTTAATCATCAGATTGGTCTATACATGAATCCCATATGGTCGAAACACGGGGATTTCCCCGACAAAGTGAAGAGTATAATCGCGAAGAAAAGCGAGAAGCAAGGACTGGAACAATCTAGATTACCCTCTCTGAGCGCCGACGAAATCAAACTGCTGAAAGGTGAATCGTGGAATTTATTAAAACTTAAGGTAACGCGGGCTCTTCGAAACCTGGATGCGGGAAGCCGTGCGTCAGAGGACCCCCTAAGGAAATTCCCTAATACATGGGTTGCTGAATTCATTCAGGATCATCTCGGGCCTCTTCGAATCTGTACTAATATACCTAGTCTTGCCATAAATAGTGAGAAAAAGAAAAAAAAAATTCTATTGCAAATACATAACAACTATTAAATTTACAAAAAAAAAAGACGTTGAGGCCAGTTATTAATAGAAGCACGCACTCTTTCCATGGGAATTTTTTTTATTATTTTGATACACTTGTGCCGATGTTTCGATGTTTCACCGAAACTTTGCGACGTTTCACCGAAGCGCTGTGACGTTGCACCGAAGCGCTGTGACGTTGCACCGAAACTTTGTGACGTTACACCGAAGCGCTGTGACGTTACACCGAAACTTTGTGACGTTGCACCGAAGCGCTGTGACGTTGCACCGAAACTTTGTGACGTTACACCGAAACTTTGTGACGTTACACCGAAACTTTGTGACGTTTCACCGAAGCGCTGTGACGTTACACCGAAGCGCTGTGACGTTACACCGAAACTTTGTGACGTTGCACCGAAGCGCTGTGACGTTGCACCGAAACTTTGTGACGTTTCACCGAAGCGCTGTGACGTTGCACCGAAGCGCTGTGACGTTGCACCGAAACTTTGTGACGTTACACCGAAACTTTGTGACGTTTCACCGAAACTTTGTGACGTTTCACCGAAGCGCTGTGACGTTGCACCGAAGCGCTGTGACGTTTCACCGAAGCTCTGTGACGTTTCACCGAAGCGCTGTGACGTTACACCGAAACTCTGTGACGTTTCACCGAAGCGCTGTGACGTTGCACCGAAACTTTGTGACGTTTCACCGAAGCGCTGTGACGTTGCACCGAAACTTTGTGACGTTGCACCGAAGCGCTGTGACGTTGCACCGAAACTTTGTGACATTACACCGAAACTTTGTGACGTTTCACCGAAGCGCTGTGACATTGCACCGAAGCGCTGTGACGTTACACCGAAACTTTGTGACGTTGCACCGAAGCGCTGTGACGTTGCACCGAAACTTTGTGACGTTACACCGAAACTTTGTGACGTTGCACCGAAACTTTGTGACATTACACCGAAACTTTGTGACGTTTCACCGAAGCGCTGTGACGTTGCACCGAAGCGCTGTGACGTTTCACCGAAGCTCTGTGACGTTTCACCGAAGCGCTGTGACTGTGGCACTCGATAATGAGATTTCAGCCATTGGTAGTAGCTTGACTATGCCCCTGATAACCAACAACCATCAGTTTGGCTTTAAGCTAATTATACTTCTTCTTGCTTCGGTTTCCACAATATTGAGAGTCGTGACCACCTGCTTGCAACAAGGGTTTATTCCGGACCATTCCACGCTATTTGCCTCTATCTACCGCCGAGTGTAGAGCATCGTGAACTGTGGTGTCGAGGGTAGTAGTTTTTTTCGTTCACCTTGCCAGTCACCATTAGCTTCTCCAAGCTGCCGCGATCCTTTCTTGCAATGTAACCAAGGTATTTCCAGAGCTCTATGTAGGCAGATGGTGGAAAGCCTCGTCTTTAATTTCTTTACTCTTTTAAAGCTAATTATGCAGCAGGCAATAAAAAACCACTCCAAAAAATTTCAGGATCGGCCGATTTCTTAGGCATGAATCATTACACGACGTTTCTCGCGACACCGGCCAGAGACGAACATAAGTCACCGTCGTTCGCTGATGATCTCGGAGTGCACCTCACGCATGGGGCCGAGTGGATAGCCTCCAAATCACCGTGGCTAAAGGTAAGCGTGGATGCTGGTTAATAGGTGACAATCTGGACCTGGTTTGTCAAGTGATGCAATCTGGCACACGGTCTTGCGGTCTTGCGGTTCAGGCAGAGGCCCGCGGGCACGTTCACCAGGTACGGTGAAGCCAGAATAGCCTCTCAACGCTACTGATAAATTGGTAGGGAAAAAACCATACTCCTCCTTTTACCGTCGTTTTCCTTAATGCTGAGGGTCTTAAGGTCTGAGGCTTAAAACTTTTGGATCACTTTCTCTCGTACAATCTTTCTCCATCTGTTTCTGTTTCTGGTGACGTGGAGGAAAAAACAGGAGGAGGAAAAACAATACGCTTTATCTTAAAAAGCTGGTATTCATTGTTTACTCGAATGCCGTTGAAGGCTGAAGATAATACAGCCTTCCTGTTGCCGAGTGATTCTTATGTGTGAAATTCAAATAATAAATCCGTTATCGGATAAGGTTTTGTTCGTAATCAGTTCGCGATGTAACAACAACATGAGGATTTGGACGGCTTTTAATACAGATAGTGCGGAATCGAAATAGTACTTGGTACCGGACCTAACTTAAGCATCAGCCCGCTGAGCTTCTCGCCGGATCTTCTCAGCGGGTCGCCATTCCGATCCGGTACTAGACTCATCCGCGAAGCAGCTGCTCTTGTGTTGTTAGATCTCCTTCGGAGGCGCTCGGGCAGTTGTTAGCAAATCCCACCCCTCCTGTCTGAGCATTTGCTCGCCCACCTGTCCTGGCGAAACTGGAAAGGCCTCCGGGCCACCAGTAATCTTTCAAACATAAAAAATACTTGATTCCGGTTCGCTTAAGATGATGTGAATGAATTCTGTTACTTCCAATAGCACCGTGAGTGTTATTTTATCGAGAAATATTCCTGTCTATCAAACTTGCACATGAATTCCGGTGTGAGTTTTCAAAGCGGCAGTCTTTAAGTTACATTTGGAAATTCGAATCTACATTAGCGCCGCTCGCGTCAGAGCGGTAGCTTGTTGAACTAAACGAGCCTGAGCTTTTGACATTTAATGTAATAGATAACGTTTGATTGATTCTGTAGGGTACTTATTCACTACGCATACGGACACGCGATAAAATCCCTGAAATTGCGATACTTTAAAACAAATATTTTTATTCTGTATGGAAACTAGCGACATCTTGTAGCAGATGCCCCTAAACTTATATGTTCTTAATGTTAAGGTATTTAATTATTGTATAACTAAACACAGAAAAAAAACATACAGGTCTTTATTTGTTAAACAAACAGTCATTAAATTTTATCAATTTGTAGTATCTGAAAAATTTACAAAATCCTTCATTAAAAATAGAATATAGGATAGGTAATATGTTAGTGCCATCTACAGGAGCAATGAGAAACTAAACGAAGCGAAGCCATCTAGTGGCCGACGCCCGTAAACATTTTTGTTGAGTGCTTCAGTTGCTTATCTATAACTAATTTATGTATCTATGCATGCGATCACAAGTTGTTAACAAATCCCACCGCTGCTGACTGAGCCTTTGCTCGCCTATATGTCCTGGTGAAACCGGAAGCGCCTCCGGGCCACCAGTAATCTTTCAAAGAACAAACAAAACATGATCACAAAACAATGTGAGGTCGTGAAAAATTCCAGAACGCCCCGTACGGGATCTACAAGGCCTGCGTGAATATTAACCAGGAATACGACTACCCGCCCGTGTTCATTACCGAGCACGGCTGGTCCACGGGCCCGGGGCGGAGGGACACGCGCCGCGTCGCCGTGCTGAGGGCCTACTTGGCGGCGCTACTGCTGGCCGTGGAGGATGGTACTGAGCTCAAGGGATACACGGCCTGGAGCCTCATGGATAACGTGGAGTGGCGGGCTGGGACGAGGTGAGCAGCTTGGCACGGGTTGCTTAGATGGGTGGACGAGCTCACAGCCCTACTGGTGGTAGGACCTCTTGTGAGTCCGTGCGGGTAGGTACCATCTGCCTATTTCTGCCGTGAAGCAGTAATGTGTTTCGGTTTAAAGGGTGGGGCAGCCGTTGTAACTATACTGAGACCTCAGAACTGATATCTCAAGGTGGGTGGCGCATTTACGTCGTACGTATCTATGGGCTCCAGTAACCATTTAACACCAGGTGGACTGTGAGCTCGTCCGCCCATCTAAGCAATAAAAAATAAAAAAAGAAACTCGAACTAAACACACTGTTGATTGCAGCGAACGTTTCGGCTTGTACGAAGTGGATTTCGATTCCGCGAACAGAACGCGTCTGGTGCGGACCTCGGGCTTGGTGTACAAGCACATCATCGAGTCGCGGGACCCCGGGGACGGCTGGATGCCCTCCACTTATAGGATCACCGCTAGCGATCGACTGCAAAAACGTGAAATTCGGGAGGAACTTTAAAAAATAAATGATAGTTTAAAAAAATCTAACAAAATCGCTTTTATAGAAAATTCAACTAAAAAATAGAAAATAATTATAATATAAAATAATTTACTGGTGGTAGAACCTCTTGTGAGTCCGCGCGGGTAGGTACCACCGCCCCGCCTATTTCTGCCGTGAAGCAGTAATGCGTTTCGGTTTGAAGGGTGGGGCAGCCGTTGTAACTATACGGAGACTTTAGAACTTATATCTCAAGGTGGGTGGCGCATTTGCGTGATGTCTATGGGCTCCAGTAACCACTTAACCCCAAGTGGGCTGTGAGCTCGTCCACCCATCTAAGCAATAAAAAAAATATTGAATTAAACAGTGTAAGAAAAAAAAAATTGTAAAAAAGCGTGGGATGCTTTTCAGGATATTATTAAAATAACGCTTCATAAAATATTTATAACTCCTGATACCAAGCACCCCACGCTTTTTTTACAATAAAATCATTTTTTCTAATACTTATTAATATATAAATAGTTTTTCATGAAATTTTGTTTTTCAATTGCTCAATCTAGGATGTTCGTTGGTAACAACGATTAAAATAAATCTAGTACAATATTTAACTAATTTAAAAGCAATCTAAGACGTGAAAAGTCCTTTGTAAAAACGTATTACAGCGACATCTATATATCAAAGTACAGACTCCGTAGTAACCAAAAGTTTTCTCATTTTCAAATTTGTTCACCACAAGGAGATTGTTTCGTTCATAAGTTACTTATAAAGATAATAGATGGCGCTGTAAATAATATCAAAACAAAATAATAGTCTTCCATAGATGTCGCCACGTGTTCAAATAACTTCTTTCTCTAGTACTTACTATTGGTATTGTATAATAAATTATAATAATTGTTAAGCTTAGTACCTGCTTTTGTTTATATTAAGAATAGGTATACAATTAATTACGTATTTGATATATATTTGATAATAAAATATTAATTCGGAATGTGGTTTAATTTCTTCTCGTATATGGTGATTTTGTGATGAGCAATCTTTTTGGCTATTTTAGTTTCTCCTTGACGTGTAGGTGAGCTCACGGGGCTCTAACCGGGAGTGTTGCTAACACTGGCCCTAGCAAGAGCAGTGCTTCGCAGAATCTACCACCGGATCGGAAACGCGACCCACTGAGAAGATCCGACGAGAAACTCGGTGGACTGTTTCTATGGGTTAATTTACTCGCCGAGCCCTTCGTCGCGAGCGACGGGTTCGACGAGGACGGTGACCGATGCTTGAGACACCCAAAAGCACTGTTAATGGATCGAGAGGATCAGTAATGGCGTGCTTAGGCCAATGAGCGTCCGAGGTTAAGCCTTCGAACTGTCTTTAGTATGCAGTCACCTGGACAATAATTTCAAAGTAAATAAGCCTATGTCCAGTGTGGTCCTTAACTTTCGACCTTATTATGTAAGAGGGGTTGCAAAAAACCTTAAAGGTAGGCAACCTAGGTATACCGGCCATCGACTAGACTATCACTAATCGATCTAAAATCCCACCACCCCATCCCTTCCTTAAATCATTCATGGCAGCAGAGTTCTCTGATCATCAACAGACTCTTTTCGCCAGACGGCATTTATATTGACACTTCGACCTCAAATCTTGAGGTGAGTAACGGCATTCACGTGCGATGTCTATGCATCCTGGTATCCATTTCACACTCGAAAAGATAATTAGTTCGTTCATTTAAATAAGCAAATAAAAAAGCTAGATAAAAAGCGCCTGCTTATTTATTTTTTTCGATTCTGCTATTATTTAAAAACGCAGATACCTCCCTCTGCGCAGTAGCAGAAGCGAATCGTCGTCGCTCACGCACGATAATCTTAAAAACGAAACAAAAAGATTCTAAATCTTACTTCTGTTTATACGAATATCGTATTAATTTTCAGTTAAGTTAGGAACATATTTGTTTGAACTCACTCAGTGATATACGTCATTATAGATCGCGATGTCGTATAAAAAAGCAAATATATCAGACAATGCTTCAATCCAATTTAAAACTGTAATTTTCGGTAGTTCTACTTTTAAAAAAAAACATCGACAATGGATACATTGTGTAAGTGCTTTAAACAAACACAACGGGTGGTCAAGTATCAACAATAAAGTAACTGCATAACCTTTATTCTTTGAGGCATAAGGTTTATAATTCAAAAACCGTATTTATTTATGCGAGCAGCAATTAGTTAGATTTAAGCAACCGTATTAACAAAGCGCTAAGGTTGACAGTTTATGGTTGTTATTTGAAAGGCTAAATGAGTTTGTGTAATTAAAGACACTGTATTTTTCGTGCTATCGGTAAGTATGTTCAGAGTATATGCGTAAGCTCTAAACTGGCAGTGGCCTCGACATACAGGGTGTCCTAAAACTTAACGCCAACTTCGTACCAGCCGAGAGACCAGGTTAGATCAGTTCTATATTTATGCCGCATCATTCTTTTCGGCAAAAATGAGAAATGCATTTTTTTAATAGAAAGAAAACTAACAGTGTTACACTATTTTGAAATCTTGCTAAATTGACCATATTTTCAAATAACTTGTCAGTTGAAGTGTATAGTAGTTTATTTGTTTTCCAAAATGAAGTGTCAAAGTTAATTGGGTATATTTTTAAAAATCATGACACAATTTAAATAACTTAATCCCTGGGTGAGTCCTTGCTCGCCCACCTGCCCTGGTAAAACTGGAAAGGCCTCTGGGCCACCAGTAACCTCTCAACATAAAAAAATAAAATAAAAATAACTTAATCATTTCACTACAGTACCAATGTTTATTACGTTGATCTGTGAGTGCGATTAATTATGCATAATTATCTCAGATTATGTCATTAAAAAAATCACTACAATATTGGGAAAATTACAGTACTTAAAATACGAATAGGTATACCTATATTTTTTTTAAACAACAATCTTCTATCTGGTATGACTTGAACTCTCAACTTATCCTTAGCTTCTCATCAGGTGCCGGGCTATCGATGAGTTCTGGGACACCCTGTATATGTCGTAGAACGCATGATACGGACATAGAACAGACGGGTTCTTGAGTGGAGACCGCGCCCCACCAAACATAATGTGGGACTTCCCACGGCTAGGCGGTGCAATTGCTTACGAAGAGTACCAGGCAAGAAATGGATACAAGAGATCCGAAGAGTAAATTGTCAGAGGACCATGTCCAACAGTGGTCTATGGGCTGATGATGATACATTTTTAAAGAAGCTGAACATGTGTCGAATTTTAGAAGTCGTCATGGCCTAAAGTGTATGGTCTTCTGGTGCATTCGTATCTAGCGATCCACCGGTGTTCGAATCCCGTAGGCGGGTACCAATTTTTCTAATGAAATACGTACCTAACAAATGTTCACGATTAGCTTCCACGGTGAAGGAATAACATCGGCAATAAAAGTCAAACCCGCAAAATTATAATTTGCGTAATCACAGGTGGTAGGACGTCTTGTGAGTCCGCACGGGTAGGTACCACTACCTATTTCTACCTATGTCTGCCGTGAAGCAGTAATGCGTTTCGGTTTGAATAATGGGGTAGCGTTATAACTATACTGACACCTTAGAACTCATATCTCAAGGTGGGTGGCCATATTTACGTTGTAAATATCTATGGGCTCCGGTAACCACTTAACACCAGGTGGGCCGTGAGCTCGTCTACCCACCGAAGCAATAATAAATAAAAATAAAAGTGCGTGAAATAATTTTATTATATCGAACATTGTAAAAATAGAATTGACAACTCACAAACTGCATGGGTCACATTTCACCTGCCACGCCAGGTTGGGTGAGCGCGGTCATTGGCTCCTAATACTCTTTGAACCCGTCGCTTGCGACGAAGGGTTTGGCTAGTAAATAAACCCTCAGTCACAGCCCACTAAGTTTCTCGCCGGATCTACTCAGTGGGTCGCGTTTCCGATCCGGCGGTAGATTCTGCGAAGCATTGCTCTTGCTTCGCAGAATCTACCACTTCGTCAGGTTAGAGCCCCGTGAGCTCACCACGAGCGAGGCTATCAGCATAGGTAGGAAAAAAGGCTCCTGAAAAGGGTGTATTTTCCATTATCGGTTCATGAAAAACTAAAAAACTAGTGATGTCATTTTAAAAAGCAACTTTTTCAGTTAATGTTATTTCCAACTTCGCGAAAAATCCCCTTACAAGCTGTATGTACCTACTTTATTGATTACTTCATTCATTTGCTTGTCACTAAGAATAATTACTTGAATAATTATTCCGAATACAATACACCATATATATGTATGTGCCTATATATAAAGAGAAGAGCCAAACCCGGAAAAAGCTTATTGAGCTTAAATAAATACGTGAATACGTTGAATGTTATTATACGAAATTCCGCAAGTGACAAAGAGAGTCTCTTTTATTCCATTTGCGGGATTGTGTGAAAAATCTACCGTGTGCTGCTAGCTCACTTCTATATGTGTGCGGACGATAGAAATATATGGAAATGGAATTTTATTATATTTAGTTCAATCAGTAACGCCATCTAGTTATCCTATCGCAAAATGATTACTTATCTAGCAAATCAAAACCTTATTAACCAACAACTATCTATCAGAACCTTATTTGAGATCATTGCTTAACAAATATAATTTGTGACAATTTGAAAATTGCCCCCAACAGAAGCGAGAAAAATATATTTTTGACGCAACGAAGGAGCGAAGTTGCTTACATTGTTTTATTTTGTTAGTTTAGTGTTTCTACAGGTTTAAATGTATATATCGTGGTATCGGCTATAAAAGCGTTGCAGAGATGGCACACAGTTAGTTAGTAATCGGAAGTCGGAACTACTCGAAGCGAAACAGCGAACGGATCACCTGAAGCGAAGCGGAAGAAGTGAATTGACAGTTTTATAGTGTTTTAAGTATTCTAAGTCTTAAATACAGTTTTTAATTGTACCTACTTCGGGTGAATTTTATTTATCCCGAACCCTAGCGCGTAACAATAACAAAAAAATCTTCTTCAGCTATTTGAATGG